TTTTTTTAATAACCATGGTAATTACGACTAATACTGGGAAACAAAATGGTGTGCTAAGGCTCAATGGTTAAAACATTACATAGACCAAAATTTTACAATATCTAACGTTATAGGATAGACAGATGTCCTGTAGATTTGTTGCAGTATAGTTGACTAGGCCAGATAAAGAGAAAAATTTCAATCAGTTGCTGACAGTTCGAGAGGAAGTGAGGCTGTAAATAGAAAGAAAATCAAAGGAAGAAGGAAAGGAGATATCATCCTATTAAGAGACAGTTAACCCACTAGAAATAAATAATGAAAATAAAGAAATTAGTAAATAACAAGGAAGAAGAAGCATTGATGTAGAAAGGAGAAGGAAAAATTATAAAGATAAAAACGTGGGAAAATAAAAGGAAAGAGATGTAGTATTAGGAAATTGTGGGGTGTGGGTGACCCTATAGCTTTAGGACTACAGATGAGCTCAGTATGACACGGAGAACAATAGACAAAGGCTGAAGTCAAAATATACGGAAAGCAAGTGACTTGCTTGCTATCAAAGAGGGACAATGAGGGCTGAGTGTGAAGTCTCTTGAGTAAAGCATTCACACTGGTTTCCACAAATTCACATTGACGAGTATCAAATGTCAAACAAAATGTGCAACTTATTGTGTGCACCCAATGATCACTCGAGCCATGAAGCTCTAGGCATCTTGCCTCTTACTGAAGCCGAATGCCTAGGAGACAGTTGAGGAAACCATTGAAAACATCATTCTCCAAAATATTTAATGAACAAGGACAAAAGGAAGCTGGCAGGATAATCTCCCGACCACATAACAGCCTAAAAAGTGATCAGAAGGAAAAAAAAAATTACCATCTAATTGTGTTAAGTAAATTTCAGTCGACATTTGTAAACTATTTTAATTTTAAGAAAAAAAGTGCACAATTCTCATGTTTACTTATATAGCAGAACAGAAGCTTTTTTTTTTTTTTATCATTGGCAAATCCTATATTGCTCAACATCGGAGGAAAAAGAGCTAGAGTTAAATTTTCACGTCTAATGCTTAGACAATAACCAAACAATGTTATGATTGTAAAAAAAAACACCCTCGAGGCTTTTTCTCCTGAAGAAGTGAGGCACAAACCTCGAAGTAACGAGGGAAAGAAATCAGCCTCAGTCTAAAAACGAAAACATTGATAAAAACAATAAAAATTTGTTATCAAGCATTACTGAACATAATAATAATTATCATTATAAAAATTAAAAAATTATTCTTTTCAAAAATAAGTAAGAAAGAAAAAAAAATCTTGCATCGTCAGTTCGCCTTTCTTAAGTATATATTCTAAAAGATTATTCTTAACATCACCATTGTTATCACAGAAAGTTCTACTGATTCTTTGTATCGTTGTTTTCAGAGTATATTTGAACATCGCTCAAAGCAAGTCTCCAGCTCAAGGCTCAAAAATGTTAAAGTAGGGTATGCATGTAACAAAAAAGTCAAATATCTGGAACACTGAAAAGTAGAATGTGTTCTTCCTTGTTTAGATTTTTTAGATGATTAATAAAACCAATTCACCTTGAATTCTGACTAAATTTTGAATGCAGTACCTAGCCAAAATATAAGAAGATATAGCACAAAGACCCTACAGGCTTGAAACACAAATCGCATCATTAGATTACCCTAAGAATACATATGCGTATAACAAAGAAAACTGTGATTCGTCAGTCTGGAACATGTACAGAGTTGCTATTCATAAAACAAGTGAATCTAGTAGCCAGCAGCCAAACCCTCCCCCAAACAAAAAGGATGAAGCAGATATCTATCCAAAATAAGCCACGGAGTTCATGCAAAGAAAAGTAAGCCGAGTTCAATCATGAAGCTCCAAAAAATTATTTTCACATCAAAATTAATCTGACCTACAAAATCAAGTATCGCATTTAGATTTTAGAGCAAACCAAATCTCAAAGAACACACAAAGCAAATCAAGAGTATCAGAAGAAACTAAATCAACGGCGTAAATGTAACGCACAGATATATACAAAGAGGTCAAACAAAAAACAAAATTATTGAACAATTAACACAAGCCCATCGACGATTACCGAAACTACCGATGAAATACTCAAATCAGCATAAAATTTGAAGGATGTGAAAGAGAAAACAAGAGATCAAATCAAAATTTGATTAACAGACTGACCAACAACACTCGAGCCTCCTGAACCAAGCGTCATAGATGAATCAAGAATGGTTAAATACGATCAGCTAGCAAGGATCTGATCGAAGAGTGAACGTAGATGGAACACTTGACGAAGAAGAAGAAGAAGAAGAAGAATCTAAGAAAATGAAGGGCAGAACGAGGGGAATAAAGTGGAATCAATAGGTTAGTAAAAGGGGCAAAAGAAAAAAAAAATATTATTATTTTGGAATAACTGACAATGAACTAGTTTTCTAATGGGCCTTCTTTCGTAGGAACCTTCCGACATTTGGGCCTCCATATTTTTAAAAACTAAGCCCATAATATATCCTATCTTCTCTCCGTCCCGATTCATGTACCCTCTATACCCACCCCCGAACCAAATTTTATTATGAGCGGTGTTGTTGTGATATCATTTATAACATTTCAAATGGTTAGATGAACATGACTCTCCACAATAGTATGGTATTGTCCCCTCTGAGCTTAAACTCTCCTGACTTTGCTTTGGGTTTTCCAAGAGGCCTCACACCCATGAAGATAGTATTATTTGATTATAAATTCATGATCATTCTCTAAATTAGACAATGTGAGACTTTCATCATCCAACAAGAATAAGATCAGTCCAAATTCAAGTTAAACTCGAGCCAAACTTTGATTTAACGACTAATTTAAAGAGTTTGAGTCGACCCAATTCAAATTCAAATAATAATTTAGGGTGGGTGAATTATAAATGGAGTAAAAAGTATAAAAAAAAAAAAAGAGAGATTAAATAGTGTTAGTTAAATATAGCATATAAATAGAAAGCATCCAATTAATTGATGCATTATTTTTGCACAAGTTTATTGATAGAGAAATAAAAATAAAAATAAATGCAAAATGAATGCGGCTTCACCAACAAAAGTAATACATGAAATTAAAAAATGAATTAATTTGAAGGTCGAGAATTTTAATTCGTATTTAATCTCCATCTGACGCCGTCGTATCCCAATTGTCCTCAACTGCCTTCCCTCAATTACTCTTGCATTTATGCCTTCCTTATTTTACACTCTTCATGTTACATAAATACATTTCCATCTTCATTTTTCTCCTTTTCAATCATCCAACTACTTTCCCGATAATCATATTTTTATAAATAAATTTGTTCCGACTAAGACTCTAAAAGAAAAAGAAGTCAACCCTCGATTAAGGGGAGGCGTACTTTGTTCGAGGGGAGGTGTTGGATGAAAGTCCCACATCGGCTAATTTAGGGAACGAGCATGAGTTTATAATGATAAGTGAATACTATCTACATTGGAATGAGACCTTTTGAGAAGCACAAAACAAACCACGAGAGCTTATGCTCAAACTGGACAATATCATACAATTGTGGAGCTCGTGTGATTCCTAACACCCACCCCTAAGCCAATCGGCCCCCCAAAACCAAAGGTTGGAAAAGACCCATCCAATTGGAATGGTTTTTTCATATATTATAATTTCATAAACTCATTTATTTGAGTAATTGTTATCGCATGTTGTCTTGTAAACTGCGGCTAATTGTATCTTGAATGACTTGATTTATTATTTTAAATTGATTTAAATTAAATGCATACACGTTTTAAGGAAGTTCAAATCTCTAAAACTACGAGAACGAGAATATAGTAAAGGAGAAGAATACACGAAGTCAGTGAATTTCTTATCAACAAGCAAAAAAAAATTAAAAAATAAAAATAAAATTCATGAGATGGGACCATAGCATTTAATTGTAATTTTCCTAGTAATAAAAATATTTAATCTGTTATAAATTTGAAGGTACAACAATTAAATTATTATAAATAAAATGTGAAGACTAAATTGCTGTATGGAAAATAATAATAAGAATGTTATTATTATTAATTGAATATTAATATTATTGGGCAACCAAGCTTTAGACGATTTGACCAAAGTATACTTGATTATTTTTAATATGTTTAACACCGTCCCCTAGAACACCAAGAAAGCTTTTGACTTTCTCAATTTAATTGATTTAATTATTTCTTTTTTAAGTAAATTACACTCATATTTTTACAGCATTAAACACACACACGATGACAAAAAGTAAATGAAAATTCCCCATTGGTTGGCATGCTAGTAAATATTTTATAATTAAAATATTAATTTAACCCATAAAATTCAACTCTTTTAACCATCAAATATTTGTAGATAAATTATGAGTTGTTCACAGACTATTTTCGTCGATAATAATATTTTTTTATTTTTTTTATAAAGATAAAAATATTAACGTTACTTCTAAAATTTTATGAATATTTTTTCAATATAATATTAATCCTAAAAATATTTTTTAAATTGCTTAAAAAATAAAGGATTAATATATATTTTTGAAACACGGTTCAAAGGTATTCTCGAAATGAAGAAAGTTATAGTAGGGGAACTTTTAAAAATTTAAAGTGAAAATGAAGAAAGGCATAAAATATTTATCAATTATTCTAATTGGCCTTTAAAATGAAGTATAAAAATGAATCCAATTAATTTAGGATATATTTAATTTAAATTTGGAAATAATTTTAAATGAAGAACTGGCATGAACAAGTGCAAGTACAATTTAAACTCAGGTTCATGTCGTCTGCAGAAGATAGAACCAGAAGGGAAAAAGAGATAAAGGGACTCTTTGTTTCAGCTCAAAATCTGAACAAATTAGTATTAATTCTTCCTCTCGGTTCCATGTTATATAACAACATGGCCTTCAATTTTCTCCCAACAACAACCTACACCTCTTTCTTTTCAATTTCACATCTAAAAATAAAAAATAAAAACACTTAACATGCATATGGAAGTTTAACATAGTTTAGTTGTCTCTAGATCTTCCGGGCGACGGCCGTGGATGGCGGAGGTGCGGTGGCGCCGCCATCATGGAGAAAATCCAGCAAAACAGAGCTTTTGCACTTCGGGCATTTGGGGTCATTCTCCGACAGCATTACGTACATAAGACAGCGAGGGCACCCCACCAGCACCATTGAGGTGGCTTCCGGACTGCTGGAGTATCTTAGTGCGGTACCATCGTCTTGGTTTAGCTCCAACGACACGCAAGAGCTTGGTGGCGATGTGGGTGACACTGTCGCCGATCGGCTTGGTGATGACATCAGTGAATGTGACTGTGGTGGTGACAGATTCAGCTTCAATTCGAGCTTTGGAACACTTCCATTGCTTCTTCTGCTCATTGTCTCTCCCTTTTCTGCGATTATGAATCAAAATTCATCAAAATTCAAAATTCAAAATTCAAAAAAAAAAAAAAAAAAACAGAACTTAAACATTATTGTATTTGTACCTTGAGAATTGGAAAATCAAACGGCGGCGATGACGGCGGAGGAAGGCGGAGGAGAGTGAGAATGTATGAGTGGGTTTGTGGGGAACATGGGACTCCGGGGAATGATTTATATAAGAAAACGAAGGTGGGGAAGTGGGAGGCAGAGAGAAAGATTAAAATTAAAAAAAAAAAAAAACAATTTATTATTATTTTTTGGTGGGTTTATTTATTTTCATTAATTTAAAGGGAGTGAATTGAATTTTGAGGAAATATGTGGCAGAGAGTGTAAATTTGAAAGAAAGAGGGGGTGGGGGCAGGGAAATGAATTAAAAATTGCAGGTAAAATAATTAAGGAATTTAAAAAGAAAAGCCAAAGGGTATATGCTTTTTCATTAATGAGAAATTTAATTGTAATGTAATTTTTACGTCGGCGAAACATAAATGACAAATTTTATTACATTAAAATAAAGAAACCAACCAAATTCTTTTACTCCTAAATTTAATGACAGCCGCCAACTAAGATTGATTGGATCGCGATATCCGATGAATTTATGTTTTTTTCTTGCCATTTAATTCCAAAACCTTTTTAATTACTTTTAAATTAAGTCAATATTTTGTTCATTAATTAGACATTATATATTTCTACGACATTAATGATTAATAATTCAACTTCTTTTTTTTTTTTATTTTTTTTTATTGTAAGTCAAGAATTAATGAAATAAATGTGGAATTTATAAAACATAAAAAGTTCTAAAAATAAACTTGGATTTACGTTCACAACCCCTCAATTTTTTTTATTTCATGTTTTGACCTTTTATTTTCTTTCTTTTTGATAATTTTGGCAAGGAGTTGGAATTAAACATTCTTGCATGTAAAAACTTTCTTTATTTACTAATTTCACAGTTTTTTAATAAATAATTTACGTTTTTTAGTCACTTTTACCCTATGTAAAACGATTGACATGGATTGATATTAATAATTTCTTCAAAATATAGCTATTAATGGACCCAAGTTTGAAACTTTACATATCATATTCATTTCAAAATTAAATTATTTCTTTTTAAGTATAATTACTTTAAAATAAATTTTTTTAAAAATAAAAGTTAAAAAATACTTATTTTTACTAACGTGTCCAAATTTAGCTCTTGTACACTTTCTATGGGTGAGTTTATAGTTTACTTTAGTCGATACATCTTCCATTTTGGGCATGAGACCAAAATCGAACTAATCAATTTGGTTATGCTAGGTTGAGTTCTTTTTTGTTAAGTTTGTTAGATTGTGAGTGATATGAACCAAGAGATATCAATCATACAATATATTTTAATAAAGATGCGAAAAAAATGCTATTGAAATTATCAAAAGATATTTTACTTCATGCCACGTTGAAGAAAAATGAAGTTTCATTGTTATAAATTTTGGGTGGATTACAATTTAGAGTAATTTAAAGTACATCAGGTTAATTACGACCATAAACTATGAATATTACAACTGGAATGCATTTAATAATTTTATTTTGACGCTATATAAAACCATGTATGTTGTATTTGTAAGTAGACATAGTAAAAAAACATTTGTGCTTCCTAAGTTTATTTGCAATTTTATGTAGTTTAAGTTGCATGTAGAATCATTCAAGCTCAACATGATCAATCTTGCTTGTGGAGTGATTCAAATCTCAAACAAGTATTCTTGCGTTGAGATATTTGATCAATAAGGATCATTCAAGCTAAACATGATCAATCTTGCTTGTGGAGTGATTCGAATCTCAAACAATGTTCTTGTCTTGAGATATTCGATCAAGAAGGTAATTCGAATCTTACTCCCCTTGTATTGATTTCTACTAAATTTTGACCCATTTTTTCATCTTCAATTATAAAAGGTACTTTTTTAAAAGCGAAAATTAATTCTCCTTATTTCTTTTTCACTTTTAACCACCCATAAAAATGATAAAAGAATTAAATATACATATAAACAAAGTTTCAAGAACATCCCTCTTGAGACGCAACGACGCCAACCGAAAAGCAAGGTGGTATCCACAACAATTGAGAAGTGCAATGCGATGCTAAGCGATGGATGCACTGTTCTATCGTCGAAACGGAGTGCTGCGTGACATGGATGTGTCACAATCGATTGTGCTCTAATATTAATTAATTTATTTAATAATTAGAATTTGAACCTAAAATTATGTATTAATTATGTAATAGTGAGCTAATTCAAGTCGGATTAATTAAATAGGTTTGAATTGTTTGATATTTATTTGTAAATTTTAAAGAATCTTAAAATGGGAGTAAATGAATTTCCCAGTTTAGAATAATGACAAGAAGCCATGGAAGTTGCCAATATTAAATATGGCTGTTTTTTTATTACCACTACCCTAAAATTAAATAAGAAATCAGAATATTGAAAGAGTTACAGCTTGAATGTATAAATAAATAAATAAATATAATGGAGAAAAATAAAATTGAATAAGAATATTAAATACATGCACATCAAATTAGTGCACGAAATTAATATTCAATAAATGTGTGACCCCAACCACATACTCACTTCCTATGCCACTTTGCTTCTGATAGGTCGTTACCAATGCTCCAATGATGTTATTTTCTAACCTTTTATTTTTATTATATAATAAATCTGTCGCCCACTGATATTAAACATATGCAGATCCAATATCTACTAGCGGTGGACTTGAGTTGTTACAAATGATATTAGAGCAAAACAAAAAATAATGTACGGGCGAGGACGCTTGGACCCAAAGGAGTGGATTGTGAGATCCCACGTTAGTTAAAGAGGAGAATCAAACATTTCTTATAAAGGTGTGAAAACCTCTCACTAATAGACGCGTTTAAAAATCACGAGACTGAAGGCGATCCGTAATAAGCCAAAACAGACAACATATACTAGTAGTGGGCTTGAGCTGTTACAGTATAAAAAAAAATAGTACACTTATTAGTATAAGTATTAATTATCAATTCTTCTAATCTTCGCTCATTCAAATATGATATCAGTTCATTCATGTTTTTCTCCTTTTTCATTCGGACATCAAACAAAAATTTTGATAATGATTTCAATGTTTTGGAGATTGAAATGCAAAGAAAAGTAAATGCATAGAATTCATAAAATTGATTGAATGCAAGAAATTCAAAGCCCCATCGACTCTGAAACTTGGAATTTCATTATTGAGGCCAATCCCCATTGAATGTATGTAAAGTGCATTTAGTACCACATTTATAGACAACGCATAATATCAAAAGAAATTATTGCACCACATTTCCGTTGATGTGTATATATCTATATATATGATTTCGTACTCGTAATAGTTAGTTTGTAATACTAAGGAAGCATTGAATATAAGAATGGTCCAAGTTTTAGTGATGTCAAGGTGTGAAAGAGGGCAATGGATGTTTCAAGATAGCGGCATCAGGTCTAAAGCCACAGCATGAACTAGATGAATCAAACCCAGGAATCACAGATAAGAAACTAGAATAGGGAAGGAATTCACACAGTAGCATCTACAATGACTAGTAATAGAGCTTGTATTTGATATATAATATCAGTGATGGGTAGAGTCATGAAGCTAGATTACTGATTACTGAGCAGAAATAGAACCTGCAAACGTCGAGTATGGTGGTTAGTACCATGGGATCTAATCGTCTAACAACGGCTGCTGGTCGAGCACTGTTAGAAGCTCTGTCATGGGCGTCACCATGCTATTCTGTGCCTCGTGTTCACCCCTGCACTGGAGTAACTGTGTTCTAAGACTCTGCACCAGCTCATTTAATCTCCGGATATTTCTCTCCTGGGAAAGGATAATCTACAGTAGCATTCAAAGAATTTTGGCATTATATTAACAGATCATAATAGAAACCAGGAACAACATTGTATATCAGTCAAAGAAGCGCAGCAGTATAAGGATGAACAAGAGCTCTAAAGGAAGCAGAAACAACAAATAATCTTGGGTGTTTCAGATGTAGTGGTGTGGAGAGGTTACAGGTTAGATATAGTTCTACTTCCTTGGTAACGAAATGTGTGAGGGATCGAGTGAACTGCTAAGGACAACGGAATCTTCACCCATCTCTATAATGGTATGATATTGTCCGATGAAGATATTATTTCTAACTCATATACCCATGATGTTCCTTTTCTTTGTTGCAACTACCATCCTGTTGCCTGCACTACGGACGCCCTTTGCCATGTCGCCGCTCCACCACTTCTCTCTGCCACTGTTGCTACTTTTCTCCGCCCACTGTAAGTGTTTTTCTCTCTAGTTTGGCTTTTCTTTGAAGCCTACTTCAAAGAAAGGAAGGGAAAGCTCATCATTGTTTCCAACAGTGTTTACATCTTCTCCGATTTCTCTGTTCATCGAGTTCTTACGCAATCATCAAAGCAAGAAGATGGTAATCGCTTGATTAATTTGCTTTGTTTTTAGCTTCCTAAGTTTTTGATTGCATAATCTGTTTGGTTATTGGGAGATAATGGAAATTCTGTGGATTTGTTTTTTTTTTTTATCTCCTTTCGGTTTCGATGGGTCTTCGAGAGATTATAACAGTATACGATTTTGAATTTCTATCATTAGCGTTGCTAGCTTGCAGACTTCAGAAGCCAGATTAGTGTTCGTTATAAGCGGGATGAGATAAGAAACTATTGGAAACTAAGGTTGCTAGGTAGTAACTTTCATTTCCTCTAAGTCTTTCTTAGTCATCCTATTCTCAGGATCACTCTCATTCGGATGTGGTCTCGGTTCATTCATGTACCCCTCCTTTATTCGAGTGTCACAACAATGGAACCTTCACCAATTACTTTTGGTTTCACACAAAATATCTCACACCAACGGAGATATTATCTCTTACTTGTATATCTATGATCTTCTTGAGCTAACGTCGGACTTTAGTTTCCTTTCCATGGTGAACTAGGCATATCATTTTAGGGAAACCCACATGTAAAATACTAGAATGTTCACATATCCATGCAATTGTGCTCCCCACAGAAGATATTCTGGGGAACAAATACTATGTACTCACCGTTAGCAGATATTGTCCTCTTTAGATTTTCCCTTCCAAGTTTCCTCTCAAGGTTTTAAAACGTGTCTATTACGAAGAGGTTTTCACACCCTTATAAGGAATGATTCGTTCTCCTCTCCAACTGATGTTGGATCTCACAATCCACCCTTCTTGGGTCCTAGCGTCCTTGTTGGCACATTGCTCAGTATCTGGCTATGATATCATTTCCAACAGCCCAAGCCTACCGCTAGTAGACATTGTCCGCTTTAGCCCGTTACGTATCCCGTCTCTCTAGTAGACGCGTTTTAAAACCGTGAGGTTGATGACGATACGTAATTGGCCAAAGTGGACAATATCTACTAGCGGTAGGTTTGGGCTATTCCATATACCCTAACTAACCCTCCAAATTTTCCTACCTTTTGGATGCATCTCAAGTGTAGGAGTTCTATAAATCCAGAGGATTCGATAAATACTTCAATGTTTCCTACATAAACTACAGAACATCTAATCATTTCGAGCATTGACAAAATGTAAACAGCTGACGAGTGATTTGGCAAACTTATGGGAAAAAAAGAGATAGATAACTGGAATTTCACCTTTTCTTTTACAGCTTCCTCTCTATCAGACACATGTGGTTCACTCTGTGAAGCGTTTGGACCTGCTTCAAGCTCGTTCTCATACTGTTGCCTCCACTCAAGTTGCGATGAGAACACGATCAATAACAGTAGACAGACAAGAACCCAAGGTCTTGACATTATCACAACAAAGTTTTAAGTAGTGCTATCCTGCATTCCATAAGGCAATCACAATCAAATTTTGAGTCCTAACCCAATATCTACCGATATGTGACTGTTCATCAATATAACTTGATGATCATCAGTAAATTAATGAACTGAACTTGATATATTCTAAAACAATTGACTAAGAAACAACAGTTGAAAATAGACTTGAGATAAACAGAATCAAGTAACTAAGAACATAACCAAGTTCAATTACGTTCCTAGTCGCTCTAATCAGATTAACTTCCGCAATGTTCTTCATTCTTTTTTCCCCAAATTCAAGACTTAGATTCTACAGAAACACAAAAATTGAAAGCTCCATATGAAAAATCTGCAGATTATGTGAATGGTTTCAAGTGTTCGAAGGAATTGCATTTCCCCCTTCGCTTCTCCCTCTCTTTCAGCTAATTATAATTCAATAAAACGCAAAATAAAGACGAATAGTTTAATTTTCTCACCTACCAAACAAAGCCTGAGAATCGACCGAAACCCAGGAACACGAGCAGAAATCTTTCTCGAAATTACCATCTACTATAGCGTCCAGACCAGATTATGAACAACTGAGAAAAGCTCAAAACGCCAATCCCTCAAAAACATCGAAAAGCCAAAAATGGGAAAGGATCGATATGCAAAAGAAATTTGGAAAAAATATTGAAGAGTTAGAAGCAAAAAAGAAACCCACTGATCGAACAGCGCATCTAAGTTTAGTTGGAATCTGATTCCTTCGAGCTGAAGGTGTGAACCGCGTCGCATTCACCTCCACCATAATCAACGAATCTCGTTTTGTATGTAAATGGTTAAATAATAATCACTAATTTAATCTGAGAATTAAATGTTAGTTAAATAATAGTTTTTAAAACAAAATTACACGATGTGGGGGTTTTTTTTTTTCATAAAATAAATAAATATATTTTCTTTAAGAAGAAATTTTGGGTCAAAGTTCCAAATTTTATTATTTGGGTTACATTTTGTTGTGGTACGAAATGCCGAATTTCACGCCTGAAAGAAGAGATATAAATCTCTGAGAGAATCAAGGAGAAAGAATCAAAGAAACGTAGCAATCTTCTGACCTTTTGTAAATGGGCAACGCTCAATCGCCTCAAACGAATTCCCGCTTCATTACAGCTTCCAGGTTTTTCTCTCTTTACTCTCTCCACCCGTTCATAGATTCTAATGCGTCGAGTTTTTGATCGGATTCAATGATCGCTGCAGAGCTTTTACTCAGAATGAGCTCGAAAATCTCAAGTCGCTGTTCTTCTCCCTCGCCGCTCAATCAAATAGCAGTGGGAAATTCGTATCGCCTTCTGTTTTCGAAGTCAGTTAGTTTGTGTTTTCTCCATTGCCGATATGGTTGATTTCTGATTTTGCTCTTCACTGATTGTCTTGGGTTTTGTTGTTTGCAGTCGTTTTTTGGACTGCGTGGTCCTCTTGGAGAAAGATTGTTCGATTTAGTGACACAGAAGCGCAAGGATCAGAAGCTTACTTATGAAGACCTCGTTGTAGCTAAAGTAAGCCATTTTGGGGTTTCGCTGTTCTTCAAATTCAGTGTGTATTCTGAACACACTGTCTCGTCAATATCGTAGTTCTGGTTTGTTTGTTATTATTATTTTGATGGGATAGTTTAGTTCTCTAAGCTCATAGCATGGTAGGCGATTCTTGAATTTCATGGCTGACTCTGGAGTTATTTCATTCTTCTTTTCATCGGATTTTCCTTTCTTTGTTTGTTCGTTGCCATGGTCTTGCTTGTGAGGAGACATTATTACATTACGAATGAGGGGAGGTATTCCACTTTACAAGTGAGGAGGGGCAATTCTAATACCAGCCTAAGCATAGTACATTGCTAGCAAATATTGTTATCTTTGGGCTTTCCCTTCCGAGATTTCACTCAAAGTTTTGATACACGCGTATGCTAGGGAGAGGTTTCCACACGTTTATAAAGAGTCCCACTGCTAGCAGATATTGTCCTTTTTGGGGTTTCCCCTTATAAAGAGTCCATTGCTAGCAGATATTGTCCTCTTTGAGGTTTCCCCTTACAAAAAGTCCCAATGCTAGCATATATTGTCCTCTTTAGGGTTTCTCCCTTATAAGAGTCCACTTCTAGCAAAAGTCCCAATGCTAGCATATATTGTCCTCTTTAGGGTTTCTCCCTTATAAGAGTCCACTTCTAGCAGATATTGATCTTTTTGGGGTTTTCCCTTATAAAGAGTCCCTACAACATATATTGTCCTCTTTGGACTTTTCTTTTCGGGATTTCACTCAAAGTTTTAATACGCCTTAATACGCGTCTTCTAAGGAGAGGTTTCCACATGCTTATAAAGAGTGCTTTGTTCCACTCTGTAACCGATGTGGGATCTCATAATCCTCCCCCTTCAAGGCCCAGCGTCCTCACTGGCACACTGCCTGGTGTCCAACCCCCTTTGGGGCTCACCTCCTCGTTGGCACATCGCCTAATGTCTGGCTCTGACACCATTTGTAACAACCCAAGCCCTAAGCCCATCGCTAGCAGATGACAACCCAAGCCCCAAAAGTGTTTTGTTCTTCTCTCCAACCGACATGGGATCTCACATTTTATGTTTTTTTTTTTTTAATGTTTTTTGTAACTCAACACCGTGTGGGGTGGGAAGATTCAAAACTTTGACCTCTTGATCTAAAGTATATGCCTCAACTAGTAGAGTTATGCTAAAGTTGACATCAAACCGCTGCACTTTTTGTGTTTGATTTATTAAACCAACATCAAACGTCTGGAGGCCTGGGAAAGATTGTGAGCACGAACCTTTTCTGGTGCTGTTACCCAACGTTTTGAGAACCTGGTGTTTGGTCATTCATCATCATTTATCTTTTGAAACCATCAAATATTCTTAATTCTAGTTGTGATGATTGTTATTATTATTTCATCATTTGCATTGAAGGGCACTTATGAGAAGGGAACAAATGAAGAAATTGAAGAGTTCATTTATCAGTTATTAGATGTGTCAGGTGACGGTGCCCTTGGGAGGTAATATTTTCTTCTTTCGATGATCAACTTCTAATAACAAAGGCTACTTGTTCTATGACCCACCAAATCCCAACAATTAGCTTTCTGTTTCAAAATCTGATTGGACATGAACTATTATGTGCCTACTTTGCTTTCATGCCAATGCCAGGTCTGATCTGGAGTCGGTTCTAGTACAAATTTTAACTCATGTATTCTCCTCAACAAATAATGAAACTGGATTCGATTCACATCAGGACGCTGTACAAATATTTATTCGTGCAGCAACTTTCTCAGAGAACGATGAACGATTTACTTATGAAGATTTCAAACACTGGTGTACTCTGCTTCCATCTGTTAGGAAGTTTCTTGGAAGCTTGTTGATGCCACCAGAAGTAGGTATTTGATTATCTTTCCATCAATCTCAGTCCAGTACTAGTTAGATTTAAGTTTTTTAGTACAATAAGTTCGTTGGAGTTTGATTATGATTTTCTTGAACTTCTTAACCGATCCCGTGTTTTACTTCATGCATGATTTTGCTTGATTCTGGTTAGGTCTTAATACATTCATTCCAAATTCTATTCATTATATAGCATTTTTACATTTGAGTTCTTTTTGTTCATGGGAAATCTACAAATCTCAAAATGAACATAGTCGTGTGCAATTTTGATTCCATTCAAAGTAAATTTTTCCATCACTGTCATTGTATTAGATTTATAATTGTTTGTCTTTAAAGATAGTTGTAACATCACAAGCTTCGTTCCCACACCGTCCGGTCATGTGGGGGGCCTAGCATCCTTGCTGGCACACCACCCGGTGACTGACTCTTATACCATTTATAACGGCCCAAGCCCACTGCTAGCAGATATTGTCCTCTCTAGGCTTTCCCTTTCGGGCTTCCCTTTTTAAAATGTGTTTGTTAGAGAGAGGTTTCCACACTCTTATAAGAAATGCTTCATTCTCCTCGTCAATCGACGTGGGATCTCACAATCCACCCCCTTGGGGGCCAGTGTCTTTACTAGCACACTACTTGGTGTTTGGCTCTAGTATCATTTGTAACAGCACGAGCTTCGTTCTCACACCGTTAGGTGATGTGAGGGGCCAGCGTCCTCGCTGGCACACCACCGGTGACTGGTTCTAATACTATTTGCAACGGCCCAAACGCTAGCTTGCTAGCAGATATTGTCCTCTTTAGGCTTTCCCTTTCGGGCTTCCCCTCGAGGTTGGTTTTTAAAACATGTCTGTTAGGGAGAGGTTTCCACACTCTCATAAGGTATGTTTCGTTCTTCTCACCAATTGACGTGAGATCTCACAATAACATTCTTCCCTTAGTTTTCTAGGTCTAGAACTGGCCATTCCATTATCTTGTTATCTTTGCTTTAAATACTTCACCATTCGACTCAAGTCGCAAGCCACATCAATGGCGGACTAGGTATTGAAACTTTAAAGAAAGGTTATGTAATCTTTTTCATTTTTATGGTGGCTGTGTAGGGAGACCTGGTTGTCAAGTTCCAAGGCTAGTCTATGGGGAAAACATAGATTCTCATCTTGTGTTATTGAAGAAGGAATATGGTTGGCATATAGGAGGAGCTCTTCCTCAGCATGAGCTGGAGGAGTGGAGACTACTTTACCATAGTTCAATAAATGGGCTGAGTTTCACTACATTTTTGGGTAACATAACGTAAGTTCATTCACTTATTTGTTTGTTTGTCTCTCTTCTGGAATCACTTAAGAAAGAAAGAACACCATCAAGCTTCTTTTATGGGTTTCGTGAAGCTCGAGTAGCTTAAACTTTTGGGTCTAGTGAAGCTCGAGTCAAATACATGCTCGTAGAGCGGGTCTTAACTTCCTGGTTTTAAGGAGAACGTGCAGTAACGATGGAGGACCAACGGTGCTGATAGTGAAGGATAAAGAAGGTTATATATATGGAGGATATGCTTCCCAGGCATGGGAGAGGCATGGTGATTTCTATGGAGATCTGAAATCATTTCTATTTCAGCTGTATCCAAAGGCATCCATATACAAACCAACTGGAGCAAACAATAACTTACAATGGGTAAGTTCTCCACACTTGCCTTATAATTTTCTTCATCTCTCTCGAACAGAGTTCTCACTATTCTTGTTTTTTTGGCAGTGTGCTGTTAATTTCAGTTCAGATAGTATACCGAACGGCATTGGGTTCGGAGGACGAGCAAACCACTTCGGTCTGTTTGTGTCGGCAAGCTTCGATCAGGGTCACACTTTCACATGTACAACATTTGGGAGCCCGTGTCTGTCGAAGACGAACCGAGTAGAGCTGGAAGTGATAGAATGCTGGGGAGTAGGAGGAGAAGAAAAGGGGAGTGGTAGCCATAACAATAATGGAGTGAAGGGTAGTGTGTTGGAGAGGTTTAAAGAGGATCGCAATATGCTCAAAATGGTTGGGCTTGCCAATTCCAGTGAATGATCATGCATTTTGATGCTTATTGTGGAGTGTTTGGTATATAGTACAGATGTTGCTGGTTTTACTTTTTATGTAATATTATTATGCATAGATATTATATTGATACCAAATTATTTGATTTCTTTTAGGAAAATAACAAATATACTTTCTATTGGTTGAATGTTTGGTATCATGCTTGTGGTTTGTGGCCACATATCGAACGTTTTGGTCATGTGGACGCATGTCAAATGTTCCACGTGTTGTACATGGCTGCATACTCATTCTAGGTACGTGTTGTACATGGCTGCATACTCGTTCTAGGTACGTGTTGTACATGGCTGCATACTCGTTCTAGGTACGTGTTGTACATGGCTGCATACTCGTTCTAGGTACGTGTTGTACATGGCTGCATACTCGTTCTAGGTACGATAGAGGATTAAAATGCCCAAAATATATCATAGGAGACATAAGTAGTTGTGGATATGCTATCAAAGTTTTCTAAAATTATTCTCTCAAAGTGACTCGAGTTCATAAACTCCAACGAACAAAGATTTAAACAATATACGAATCAACCGAGCCAGACCCAGAAGAAACAGAATCTCTCTATTGAATTTGATAATTCGAAATTAATATGTAAATTCCATAACCTTTAGCATATCAGAAACTAACAATCCTCATAACCAAAACTGAGCCTCAACCGAAAATGAGATTAAAAAAATAAAAATCAAAACCCTAGCGAATAATCTCAGTACCTCCTACCGCGACCGCCCAATCCGAACGCAACCTGCTGTGGCACAGTCGGATCGACCTGAACTATCCCCGGAATATCGGTCATTCCAAGAGCAGAAAGCATATCGAGAGTCTCCCTATCGACCTCGATTTGATCAGTTTTAATGGCGGAGACATCAGGGACGAAGTCCATTCGGCGCTCGCGCTCTTCCTCTTGAAGCTTCAGAGAAATGCCGCGAACAGGTCCCTTTTGGATCCGCTTCATGAGGTGAGTGGAGAATCCGGCTATCTTGTTTCGGAGTCTCTTGGAAGGGATAATGGCGACCTCTTCCAGAATCTTCTTGTTCGTATGGAAGTCCAGAGTCATGCGCGAGTAGTAGCGCTCAATGACTTGACGGGAAGATTTCTTCACTGTTTTGGTGCGAACGCGTCCCATGTTGCTGCCGGGGAAATCGCCTGCAACGGACGGTGAGTGGTGGCGCCGGTGAGAAAAGATACGTCGGATCGGAGTGCTGAACTTTACCTAGGAAGAAGGGGAATAGGTTTTGGGGATTTATATAGGATTTCATAAGGAAGGTCTTGGGCTTGAAGATTTAAATTTCGCGGGCCGAATGGATTCTTATGGGCCCAAAATTCAAACGTAAAATAAAATTTATCCAATTTTTTAATTCCAGATGAATGCATTTCAGTAATTTGGCCATACGCAAATAGATACCTTACAAGTAACCATGGATCATCTTCCTGATGCATATGAATTTCCATCTTCCTCTTGAATGAGGTTTCGTACCAATTTTCGATGGAACACATATTTGCAGAAGCAAATGCTTGGAATGGTATAATATAAGTGAGCAATTCTCTTGCAGGAATGAAGGCGAGGATCGTTTTGGGGAAGGTTTATGATTACGTTCGGTAATTGCATTTCCTTCGTCGTTGTCGGATCCTCCGCAGCTTCGAAAGCTTACATAGCATGAACGATTATTGGTAGATTCTTATTCTTTGATGCCCTCGTCTTCTTTTGTTGGATTTGCTGCTGTTTTTATTTTATTTTGCATTTCTTTGGTTAAGGACTGATAAGTTGCAATCAGTGATTGAAAGTTAAGAGTTAATTGCTAGGAGATTGACTTACGTATAGTTTACTCGATTGCTAATTGAATTTTTGCTTGTTATTTAATTGCTCACTGAAAATTTGATTCTGCAACAAAAAGTCTCGAGGATAATAAATATGTTAGGAATTACGACTCTCCACAATGGTATGATATTGTCCCCTTTGAGCATAAGCTCCTGCTTTGTTTTGGGCTTCCCCCAAAGGCCTCGTACCAATGGAGATGTATTCCTTTACTTATCAACCCACGATCATTTCCGAAATTGGCCAATGTGGGACTCACTCCCAACAATCCTCAACAAAACATTCAACACTGGAAGACCTTGGTAACCGACCTTTGTGTTATAGTTTGGTTCGAATGCTCTAGATTGAAGTGAAATATTCGCCAATTCTTGTTATCAGATATTCGGATGCTCTAATTGATTCTTACTTGAACATGATTTTCAGTGCAATTGTGATTGGTGTATTTTGTGTACTGATTTCTGGTTCCTGATCAAACAAATCTGTTGATGCGTAAGATAAAATTGCTTCAAGTTCAAATGCTCAATATTGATAAAATTTCCTTAATATCTAATGCTTGTGAAAATAATAGTGATAGGTATTCCCGGTTTTGTAACTCTTGTCAAGCCTTCCTTGCTACCAATGGAAAAGGTCGAAGATATGAACAGAATGGTCATAGATAGCAATGTTCTAGGAGAAGGTTCTAGTCATTGTTTTGTGGTTAATCTTTGCTCCCCCTGTTTTAAAGTTCGAAACGAGAGAGATTTTCTTGCAACTAGATTATGATATCTATAAATTTATTTCTGCATCCTATTTTAATTAGATTTAACACTCATCTTACGGCTGATGATGTTAATAAGATATCCAACTATAAATTCTCAGGATAGAAATAGCTGCCAATAACATCACTGATCTAACTATGTTGTGTGGTATTGATTCATTCATTTGACTAAATTCTACTCTTCAGATTAAGCTTGTGGGATTGTAACTTACGCTTGTCTCAAATGATCTCTCCCTTCGTTTTGAAACGCACTTTCACTATTTGATTTAACTTTACAATAAATATAAGACATGCTTGTATTTGGTAATTGGAAATCTTACCATAGTCTCCTATCAGGAGGGGGGAAAAGGTTCTAGAATTCTTGATTATGGGATATCGATATTTTCGACTAGGAATTCTAGATGATTCCTACTCGTCGATGCTAATCATTTATTGTAACAGGAAGTTATTTTCTTACACAAAAGTGAGGTCAAACAAACAAAGGAACAAAAAGGAGCCAAAGTTCAAGTGGAAAATAGAATAGCGAAGGAGACTAGGAGTAATATCACCCGATTATCAGAAATTAAACAGGGGTGTATCTCATAAAAGAAAAGACTAGAAGTCCAAAGTGAGGTGCACAAGTCCTTGTAGATCCTCTTATTCTTCTCGTGCCAAGTATTTGCGCATCTTATACAAGCAACTATCATGCCAAAGAAATATTCCCTTTACCACAAACAGAGAATTCAGAATAACCTGCAACAATCTCTATAGTCTTGATTAGGCGTAAGGCTTAACCTAAAGTTTACTAGAATCGATTTTATGACTGTGTCAAAAACAAATAATGCCAAAAAATATGAATCCAATTCGCAATTGTACACCATTGAGGTGAAAGGTGAAAGGTGAAAGGAAACAGACCATTAGATAACGTCAATTTCAGTGGTGTCAATTCTCTCCAGAGTCACTCATTAAGCAAAAATCCTTATCTCTTACAGAGTGTGTACATTTAAAGCTTAGTATAGAAATAAAAGTTTGGATTTAAAAAAAGAGTTTCTCAGAACAACTTTCAGCACAATTATTATGCATAATCATTTGAAAAGTTCAACGTGAGAATATGGTCTAGTTTATAACTTGAGCGCAAGATGGGAAAATTGAGTTTCAATTTTGAGAATTAGACCTGTAATGGAGATTGAAAGTTTGAAACTGAAAACCAATGGTTATCCCTCAGATTGGTTTAGTTGAGTTGAGATGCATTGGTGATTAACCTCGATGATGTGTCCTTTTTTTTTTCTTCTTTTCTTTTTAGACTATATTGTGTGTGGTCCGTGATGTATTAAAGTTGAGTTTGTGCATAAAAACTGAGGTCTTATCATGGTCCACCACTCTAATAGGAGAACCATCAGTTTCTTTAAGTTAATCATGAACTTTAAGTTCCCTTATTCTGTTTATCTTTTCTTTATCTTCCAGGAAATTGATTTGGGTGCATCTTCTGTTGCAATGAAAGTTTCTTTACATTTTCTTCTACTTTCAACCTGGTATTTATTGAATTGGAATAGTCCTGATAAGATTGCCCATTTTTCTTTTGTTGCAAAAACAAAAATCCAGCTGTGGCTGCAAGAAGAGGAATGGAGACATTAAAACCAACTTTGCAGCGGGTTTATATGACTAGAGCTTCTGCATATAGAGAAGCAATTTTATAGATGGGTATCAAGAAGGTATTCAGCAACTCATGGAGAAGAAGAAAGTTTCTGATTCTCAATCGGGAAGCGATAAAATCAAATATAAATTTCTGATCCTATATATGCTTCATGTTTAGAGGATTTGGCAGTTCAGTTTGCAGTTGTAAAAATTGTTTGAGTTGAGATTTTTAGTTTTATCTCCGGAGGTGCTATTTGATATATGTACAGTTTTGAGAATCTCATAATATAAACTACAAATACACAGTCATTAGAAGGATGGCAATTGTCAGTTATTTTAATTTGTAAGGTCTGGTTTACAATTGATCTCAAGTTGGATAAGTTTTCCTCAACGCTTCAGGTGTGAATTGTACATTGCAGCCGGCCACTTCATTCACATTAAGACCACTCAAGCTTTTTAATCATGTCATGAGGTATCTGCATGGTGGATTGAATGTCCGATACAACCATAACTCTATGATTTGACAAGAAAGCGTTGGACCCTGATTTTGCAAATTGAGAAAGAAATGTAGTGGCATAGTTAGGTCGTAAGATGCTGTGAAGATGCTCAAGTACACTTTATTGTGGTTAAAGGGAAGGCTGAAAATGACTGGCGTACAGGGATTGAAGGGCCCATTTAGAATAGCGTCGAGCTTCCAATGTTCGAGCTACCATCTGACTTTTCCAGCAGAGCCGGAATTGTTGAAAACTAATGAGGTACCAATTGCTCCATCTTTTTATGCTCTTCGATTGTAGAAAGAAAGTAATAGTGGGGTTGCTCAATATCGTGTCTACTGTCTAGGTTCATGCTTGGCATTGCTTCTAATATTTTCAAGCACATGGTTCTTGCTTTCAAGTCTTATTTTTATAATAGGTTAAAAGTCCTTTTTTGGATAGAATAACCAGGTGATTTGCCTAAAGATATATTGACCATTTATATGAATTCTTTTTCTCCTCGAGTCATTTCTGTTAAGAGAATTGATTATGGTAGCATGAGCTTAACACCCTTATTGTCTTGGCTCATCTCAGTGTATAATTTGAAGAGTTTGTTCAAGTACTATGATAGATGCTGATAAAGAATCGAGCGACTCTTATCTTTATCAACTAATGATTGTTTGGCGTCGAGTTTCACAGAAACTTATGCAGGCATTGAAACCAATTACCGTCGGGTGAGTACCGATATCGACTAATTTTGGTGTTGTTGCTTGTTTCTGCTTGAGTCACGAAAGTATTTTTAATTCACTATTGGGTGAAATTTTCTGGGTCAGAAATATTCAAAAGCAAATGAACTGATTGATGAAAAGATAAGTGGAATGAACCGTGGACGAATTATCTCTTGCTGTTACTATATATGTACTGTACTTAGTCATGCATAATTGAATTATGCTTGCCAAACATATCCCTTAGTAGGGATCCTTTCATTCCTTTGATTAGCCATTTCTTCAATGCCAATGATAGCTTGCACACATATCTGGGGACCCCCCACTTCCAAAGCCACTGATGAAGATTGGAAAATCATCAACCAGGGAGGTCAATGGTTATCTCTCTTGTCTGCACATTTATGGGCCCCGCAGGCAAGATTTCCTAACTCACCTTTTCATCATTCCCACAGGTAATAATATGCTGATTTTCTGTTTAATTCAGCTACTAGTTGATGATAAATTTCTTATAATAATTCTGCAAGTTGTACTGAACATTTGCACCACATTTTCGATGTCTGTAGACAGGACACGATACCATGCTAATCATCAATGCACTATCTCATTACTTACTTTTCCCAAAAAAAGTAAATGATTTTAAATAAAGAAAAGGGCTTATATATACGTTTTGTCTAACCAATTCATAGACACATCACCTTTTACTGTGCTGTGTTTCCATTTGTCCTATAGGCTACACCACAAATATAGAGATGAAATGTAACAAACAATATGTCAGCATACTATACATTTTATAATCCTGATTGGTACCGTGTTGATTGCTAATGGACTAGTTGGTTTCTTTGAAGTTATATGGATAGCATGTTGAAAAGAAACATATTCTCTGTTTGAAAATATGATGATAAGAACTCCACAATGAAGGTTAAACCAATTACAGTAGAGTGAGATGCAGTGGAACTAAAGTTTTCTCCCTTTTTTAAGTTGCTGGTACGTACTTGACCTGAAATCTGATAGGTTTCTTCCTCAAATCAATGGCTGGGACACTGCATACTTTATCGAAATATATAGCCATGGAATAGATAGCCAGGGGAATTTGGACGCTCATTCAGGGTGACTTTGGTCTAGTATTTCAGTGTGTAGTCTTTTCAATTGAACAATACTTCTAAATCATATAACCAAACATAATAGTCTTTTTAACCTTTTGTTTTCAATACTTCCATCTGTAGCTTCATAAATATGTATGTAGATTTTATCAGTGATTTCTTTTTTGTCGCAGAGAAAAGGCATGTTCATCAAACAAAGTTCAATTTGTAGGGTAAGAAAGCATGGATTTTCTTTTAGATGTCCTTTCATCCAAAACTAATCTCAATTTCATTTCAGAATTGAATACAGGAATAGGGATGGCATGAAATTAACAACCTCTTGAGCAGCAGTTCAGATCAGGCGGATTCGCAGAAAAAAATGGTTGAAAGAACACGACAATTGAGAGGCAAATCTTAATATAAATGAGGTAAGAAACAAAGGTTAGATTTTGCTAGAACTTATAAAAGAGTAATAGTAGCAGTAATAGTAGCTGTTTCCGATCCATCCAATCCCACCTACTCAAATAAAGTGGCACTGGCACTGGCAACAGCTCCTTCCCCCCTTTTCCTCCGCTCATATTTTGAGTCTCTCTAAAAAAATCTTGTGTCAAATAGATTTTTCATTCCTGGCCTTCAACGACCCTAGTTTCCAATTTACATGTATGACGTAAGCCCTAGGTAGCTTTCTTGTTCCTGGACCCCACTTTTCCTCTCCCCTCATCCCCCCCACCCCATCCCACCCCTGTCCTTGGAAAGTCGGCCAGAAAACCTGGGATTTATTTCTATTTTCCCATATTTTATTTAGTGGGGATGACTCTTCTCAAGTGTAGTGGGAAAAAGTGTGTTTTGCATTACAGGGACGTCACATCCACACATCTCTATCCTTCATATTTCGCCTGCTTCACATCTTGTGGGAAAGTGGAATTCTGTTACAACCTCATCTTAGAACTCCCATAAAATGACACACCTGTTACAGTAAAATACAAATATGTGTGTGTTTGTGTAGATAATCAAGCAGATTTTCCTGTGATTTGTTAGACTCGAGAGAGAGAGAGGTGTTGTAGAAATAAAAACTGGAAGGGGTTGGTTGGTCCATAGTGTGTAATGCTCTGCTAATAAGAAGAGTTGGCTTTGAACTTTTTGTGCATATGATTTCTGAAAGTGAAGAAAGGAAGAGTGTGATATCATTTGTGCCAGAGTTTTTGGTCCGATATCATTTCTCTGGTGCTTCTGTCCTTGTACGATGTTCCCCTTACAATCTGGAAACCTTCCATTCCCTTTCTCCTTTTCTTCTTCAACTCTCTCTCTCTCTCTCTCTCCAAAAAAAAAAAAAAAAAAAAAAACTAAATTTGTATTATCTTTCTTATTCATTGATTTGGGTTTTCTTTATTATAGCCACAGACTACAAAATAGTGAACTGGTTGACCTTGTATTGATCCCAGATTGCTACAAGGTTAGAAGCCTAAATCATCTTTTGTGGGTTTATATTCATTTTATTTTAGCCAATATGTGACTCGCATGTTATTTCTTTTCATTTAATTATAGTTTTGTCCTTAAAATGGGTGAGCATATGACATTGAATCATATCATTAAAATGAGCAATCTTTGCAGGTACATTTCTAAATTAATTCACAGATTTTTGTTGCCAAAAGAGGAGACCATTCCATTTAATAAATGCAACAATAACCCATGGCACTCCCTTTTTTTCTTTTTTCTTTTTTCTTTTTTTGTTCTCTTCCTTTCCTATCTCACTTTGACTCTAATCTGTCTGATTAGATGAAACAAATTCAAAGGTGGGGAAAAATAATAATAGTGATAATATGGAGTTGAGTTGTCATACCATGTGATGAGGAAGAGAAGGAGCGTAGTGTCAGTGTGTGTAGAAGCTGTGACGGGTTGGATCTTGACCCGATAGACCCGATCCGCCACCGAGCGTCGAGGGCTGTTCGGGTTCCGACACGTCGGTTTGGCACTCCAAGTCCACCCCGAACAGACGCAGTATCTTTGAATTCCCAACCGACACTGTTTGACTCTGAACAGAGGACTCTGAAAACAATGCACGTACATCAAGCTTTCATTTTTTAAATCCTTTTTTTATGGAATAAAGAAATTAATATAAAAGATATTACATTAATTTCTGGGTAATTAATGGATAAATAAAAGGGTGAAAATTTGACAAAAATACCTGCATGAGGACAATCATAAGATTGGTATGGCGGTGAAGGAAGATGATTATGATTATGATGATGATGATGAGAAGGATATGGGTTTGAAGAACAGAAGATTCTAGTCGCCGCCGCCGTCTCCGCCGTGGACACTGGCGAGCGCCGCTTCCACCCAATGAACAACCTATCCCCATCACGGCGGTGGCGTTCAAAGACGACGACATCACCGGCGTCAAGGCGCTTCTCTTTGACAAAGCGGGTCCACCCTTTAGTGAGCACATAGCTCTGGCTACTATTCCAATACGAGTAACGGAAGCGCCACATCTTACCGGACTCATCTTCGAAGCTAAGAAGCAAGCCCTTGTCCGCCGTGTCGCCGCCGGGGGAAAGTGGGAAATATTTTTCAGCATATTGCTTGGGGATGACGAGGCGGTTGAGCTTGCCAACGTCGCTGGGAGTCAAGGGCTTTTCGAACATGGGGTGCTTGTGGTGGTGGTGGATGAGGTGGTGGTCGACGGCGGAGGCGGAGGATTTGGGGTGGTGGAGATGGCAGTCTGAAGAGAAGTGGTTTAAGGACATTTTGGAAGACAGAGAATTTGTGGGAGTTCTTGATGTGGAGAGAGTGTTCTATTTAGATGATGTTTGGATTCAAAAGACATAATTTGACAGTGAAAGAGAGAGAATGAGAAAAATATGAGGAGAGAAGCATTGAGGCTCTCGCCTGATCGAATTCACCAATCATTAATTTCAGTGAACAATATTAAATTTATTATCTCACTCCTTACCATTCTCTTCAAATGGTTGTAAAATATCATCCCACAAATTTCAACGAGCGTAGCTGTGTGATCCCAGGTCGATTAATACGAAGAATAGAGCATTTTAAAACTTTGAGAGAGGAGTTTGGAATGAAAATCCCAAATAATACAATATCTATTGATTGTGGGCTTGAACGGTTACAAATGAAGTATTTTTTGTAAGAGTGTAGAAACATCTCTTTAGTGGGTTGGGCCCCAACATCTCTATAGTGAGCTAGACCTCGAGGGGGTGAATTGTGAGATCCCACGCCGATTGAAGAGAAAAACGAATCACTTGTAACAGTATAGAAACATCTCTCTAATGAACGCATTTTAAAATTTTGAGAGATACCCATAAGGAAAAGTCGACATGTCTCTCTTATGAACAAATTTTAAAACTACGTGGGATATTAGGAAGGAAAATCCCAAAAGAAGACCGGACTTGAGCTGTTACAGTAACACATAAAGATGATATGTCAAAGTACCCTACTTAAAAATGGGCATACACCAAACATTATAAATTTAATGAACACTTACTTAAAAGAGAAAGAGAGAATAGTGAAGGATATGATGAAGTTGATTGAAATTAATGTGGATATTCGTAACATGAACAGAACCAAAAACAACTACAACCATAATAATAACAATACATTATTAGCGATGCTGTTTGGCCAAGTGGGAGACTTCTTCACCACATAAATATATAAAACTATTTCAGTTTTAGGGTTAAACAAGACTCTGCCACGTTGCCTCTGCCTTCTAAAATATTATTAAATAACACAAATTATTGTTCTTTTTTATTTATAAAATACTGACATATTTCTTCATGGAGATGGATTCTTGGTGATAAAATTATTTTCAGAAACCCATTTGATAGTAAGGAAATTAGGGTTTTGAGATTAAAAAAAAAAATTAGGGTTTAGAGGTTTGTATGAATTGAATGTAAGAAGTCAAAAGGCAGATTAGTTGTGGGCTAAGGGTAATGAATCAAGATCCAATGATGATTCCACTAATCAAACATTTGGAATATAAAATTTACAACAAATAATGGTTTTTATTTCATTCAAATTAAAATAATTAGGTTCTTATATGATGCTTTGAGTGAGCTCAGTCAATTAATATAATAATAAACATGTTTAAATTAATCTAAATTGTCGAATGTCTCGATCATAATGGTTCAAAACGTATTGTTCATGGTCGCATTCCTGTTTCATACCTCTTTTACTTGCTTTCATGTTAAATAGGTCTTTATTATTCTTGTTATGTCAATATGAGATGTATGACCAGTTACAAAAATCATGTCTACACCCGTCATGACTAAAATGCTTCAAATATACTATAAGGGGAAGTGACTAATTGTTAATTCTTCCTACTCGGGTTATATGTTATCAAAGTCCTTATTCCTTATTTGCTTTTAGTTTATAACATTGATTTTTTTGAAAACGATTCCTCACTCGCGTTTTTAAAAATATTTTTCTCAAATATGACCGGAGGTTCGAGCAAACACATCAAATGAGCTCTACCCTTTAAAAATATTTGTGCTAAATTTCCTTAAAAAAAATGTAAAAATAATAATAAATAAATAAAGTAATTTTGTTAGTCAAAATTAGTGGGGAATGGGCTATTGGGTTTGTGACACGTGGTGAACAGTGGATTTGTAAGTGTTTATGATGTGGGGTTGTGATGAAGCGGGACCCATTCTGACAATTAAAGGAAAGTAAGGAAAGCGGGACCCATTGCACGTGCCCAATTGATTTTGCACTTTTTTTCCTCTTTTGTTAATTCTCAATATATTTAGAATAAAAATTTAATATATATTATTCCATATTTGATTTATGTAATTTTCACCTCTTATATATTTAGAATAAACCAAATAAAAATCCATAAACAAATTTAAATCAAATCGAAATCATAAAAATTAATTAATAGGGTAATTTAACCAACAAAATGATGTGACGGATAAGACAAGATCGTTTGGAACGAGACCAGTGTGGTGGAAGATAATAAAGGGTTTATAAGATAAGATGCCACCAATAAGAAGCAAAGAAAGGTTGTCTTAATCTTTGGCCTATCTTGAAAGAAGGATATGAAGAGTGATAAAATTGATGACTACTTGAAAGTCACTTTCATAAAAGCAATTCTTTCAAATAAGGTTTCGTGAAATTTAATTAATTCGTGTATTAATAGTTGTTTCATTTATAGGTACCTTCATATTACGTTAAGTCGGGGAGAACTAATCATTCTGAAATATCCAATATAACTAAAAGAATTCTAGGAATCATAGTAATAATTGACGATTAAAATTATGAGACTAACGGTAATCATTACAAGCCAAAGCTGACGATATTTGCTAACAGTAACTTAAACTAATATAAAAAATGGTATTTTATAAGGATGAATGTAAAGAACAAAATCTTATAGTTTTAGATTTGATTAAAAGAATGATACCTACCTAATGATTGCAATACAAAAAGTAGGCTTAAAATGGGATTCAAATAGTTGACCAAATGCGTCCTTAACAAATTAAAACTGATTTGACTCGAGTATAGGTGCTTCATGACACTTTTTTTTTTTTTTTTTTTTTCATTTTCTTGAAAAAAGATAATTATTAAAATTATCTTAATTCAAGTGACTTTCATGGGAATCTTGTAAAATTCGAGAATCTTCATCAATTAGGTAGCGAACTCTATTTAAGTTGTTTGAGTTACCAACTCAACTGGTCCAAATGATTTCTTCAACTCAACTCAATTCGTGCACACTCCTACTATTTCACAGAAAATTATACGTAAAATTAGGAGCGTCATTGATAATATTGATCCGTGCACTATGACATTTGAGTATAACCTAGCACCCTCGCCATCAATATTATAAAAATACAAGTATCATGTACTAAAAATACAAGAAGAAAAATAATCCAAATTTAAAAACATAAATAATTGTAATAATAACAACTTGTTGGGAGTAAGGGATGGTGAAAAAAAAAAAAAAAAAAAAAAAAAAAAAAAAAAAAAAAACCCCATGTTAACATACACCAAGCAAGAATATTTTTATTTACCTGGAGCGGGTTATTGAAGCCACATTAGTTTAAATTTCTCCTTCCAAATCAAGTGCAATAGCTGATGCTTCTCCACCAAGTTTGCTATCCAATACAGTCTGTTCATGTCAAAATGGATGGATACTAAATACCATATCAAATTGGTCGTCCTTTGGTATTAGAAGGTTACCATTGTAAAAGGCCCAATGAGCTTTAATATTGGGCCAAGTCCAGGTAATACTGGGAAAGCCAATCCTGAATGATGTTGAGTTCCTGCTTTCTCACATCTTTCACCCATTTTGGATCATTGGGATCTGAGAATCTCAAGTCTACATGATGAGCTCCTGTTACATTTACCAATCTAAATTGTTTGGGTTTCTTCTTAACAATGCAATAATTTAATAATTAAAATAAAAACATTAGAAGTTTAGGGGCCCAACCTTCTTTTGCCACAATAGCTATTATGCTTGAGGATATGTTTTTCAGCACGCTGAAGGAAGCATCAAAACAAGCATATTCAAAATATTAACCAAATAAAAGGGAAGGAGATATGAATATGAAGAGAGAAAGTACCCTCCACCACTCCAAGGATCTCTCAATCCATTGAAGAAAATTATGTTGCTTCCAAACCTCTTTAAAACTCTCTCAATATTCTGCATCATGTGTTTATAATGACTCAAAATTCAAGCTAAAATGATAGATGGAAAGATTGAAAGAAGAAAGAAGAGAGAAATTACAAAGCCGCCAAAGTGTGTGGTGATCCAAAAACGGCGAGGCTCCACGTCAAATAAACTTTTGCAGTAATGGACTCGATCTGCATAGTGCCATGTTGAAGCTGGAAATATGCTATCTTCTGTGTTAGCCCCTGTTGGCAATATTAACTCCGTACAAGCCTACATTTGCAATTTAACACATATTTGGATTATCCAATTCTTTCCAATAATTTTGGAAGCTAAGCTATTAGGGCTTCTCCAGAAATGGGCATGGGCCTTCTTCTTCTAAAAACGAAATCACTGAAAATTAATCTAAATTTTTACGTTTTTTTTTTTAAATTTAGAATTTAGAAATACCTGCCAAGTCCAATCTCCAAGATCGTGAGGATCCGAATCATCGTCCAGATCAAAACACGTGGCAGTCCCAGTGTAGTTATAGTAGACGTTAGCTGCACCGTACAACTTTGCAAACGTGTCGTTCCCAGTCGTGGGATCGTCAATCGCCTTGCACATCTGCACCATCCCTTCCCCACAACTTATTCGGTCATATTTAAAATTACATTATTTATTTAGATTTTTTAAAAAATAGTGAAATAAAGGAATTATCTGACCTGTTTTACCGGGTAAGCAGGCAACGGGTTTAAAAAGTTAGATGGCGTGGGATAATCGGTCATCGCCGTGTACAAAATGGCCGTGTAGAGCCAATTTTGAATCGATTGGGAGTCTGCCGGTCTGGATTAATTTGAATCATTTTTGCAAATTAAATTATTATCGAGGTAGAATTGAAAAGAGAGGGAAAAGGAAAGGACTAACTTGCAAAATTTGAAAGATTTGCGAAGCAACTGGGGCCCTCCTGGTTGGTTTGCAACCATGTCAATCTGCTGCCACGACCCCTTAATCACTCTGTAACAATTCTGACTCTCACTCTGTAAAAAAATAAATTATAAAATTATAAAATTTATGAAGCGGTGATTGTTGTTGTTTGTGAATGTTTGCTGAATCCACCACATCTAAATGGTGTGAAAGTTATCTTATTTATAATCAAATAAATTACAAAGATATAAAAATAGTAATAAATGGAAATAACAATAAATGGAAAGATACCTATAGTAATAAGACAAATATAGATAAAATATCAAATATAATATATATGGTAAACTATAATTTATTACTAAATATCCTTAACATTGTTTATTATTGTTTTGTGTGTCGTAGTCTTCTTGTTAATTTGATTGCTTTAAACAAAGACATAAGGCATGTGAGGTTGTCCTTGCTTATAGACTTTTGCTTTCAAACTTACTCCATGTGATATTATATTATTGAAGGATCACGTTTCATGTTTCATTCTTTATATTATTATCTACTATTCTTCTCTCTCAAATCATCTTTGATTTCATTTTTATCTTTTTTTTATTACTATTTTAGAGATAATTATAGAGTAAACGGACTTTATAAAATTAAGTTAAAAAAACAATTAAAAAAGTAAAGTAAAAGTGAGAGAGAGAGAGAGAGAGACCTTGAAATCTTGGGTGATGATATTGTTGAAGGAATAAGGTGAAGTAATGTTTTCAAATTGGAGAATGGGAGCCGATGATGCTATAGCTCCAATGGCGACGTGGGGGTATTTCAATCTAAACCATGCTGCCAGCACTGCATTACCCACCAAAAACCATTATTATTTTATCATAATCACTACTATAGTTTATATAAATCTACGTAAACAAAAAATAAATACAAAATATATAAAGTTATCAATATTTTATGTGGTCAAAGACACCGAACTATAATCTTAGGATGGAGCGTGTATAGATGGTTGTCTCTTCAATGTTGCAACATCAATAATCATGAATTAGTTAGACGAACACCTTGTTCTAGATATATCAATTGATTCATTGTGACGAAGGCATGTCTCCCATCACTCATCATCCCAAGATGATGGACCAATATTTGTATTCTAGGCATGTGGAAGAATCAGATGGACCAAAAGCTTAAGAGGATCTAGATTAGGCATTGAGGGGTTGACATCGACAAACCCCTCGAACAAAGTATGTCTCTCCTTGATCGAGGCTCGACTCCTTTTTCTTTTTGGAGTCTTAGTCATTTTTTGACTATGCTTCGAGGAGGCTCGACTTCTTTTCTTTTGGAGTCCTTTGTTCGACATTTGAGGATTTACCGATCTATTAGCATGACTCTCCACAATGGTATGATATTGTCCACTTTGAGCATAAGGTCTCGTACCAATGGAGATAGTATTATTTGATTATAAACTCATGATCATTCCCTAAATTAGGTGAGGCAAGACTTCCATCCTCCAACAACACAATAAATAGTACAATATTCAAATAAATAGTTTGAAAAAAAAATCCCAATCCAATAAATGGTACATGAATCTTTTCTTGTAGCCTAAATTTGTATTTAAGATAGTTTTCAAGGGAGATTCTCAACAAAATTAGTATTTAAATGAAGATCATGAGAGAAATTAACATTTTAAATTATGAATTACTTAAAATAAGTAATTGAAATGATAGATTCGTGAAGCCATTAAAAGGAAATAATTCCAATTTTGAATTTCCGGGGGCGCTCAAATCCCAATAAAAAAATGGTGGGAAATTTTGTAGACAGAATAGCAACAGAACGTGCATAGGGCCGAGTTGTGGGGTCCGGGGACCCATTCCGGTCCATACCCCAATTACACGCCTTCCTAAAGTATAAATAATTTTAACACCAATAATAATTTTCTTTAAGAAATATGAGAACAATGGTAGAGAAATAGTAAAATAAACACAAATTTTAAAAAATTATTATTATCAAATAGGACAGTGAACCAATACCAACCCTATTTTTTTTTTCTTTAATTCTAACCAAGCCATCTCCTAAAACCTTTAACTACAAGAAATAGAAATTAAGCATAAAAAAAAAAAAAAAAAAAAATGGCGACGAAGAAATCAAGAAATTGAAAGTTGAAGAGTAGCGAGTGACTTACTTCCTCCATAGGAACCTCCAAACACCACAACCGGCGAATCAATCGCCGTCAAATTCCTCTTCAAATCAGTTATCAGAGTTGCATAATCCGCCAGCGCCTGCGTCGAGCTTAAAAATCCAAGCGTACTCGAATTCCTATTAGCCACATCTTCATCTCCCCCAAACGGAATCGATTTCCCGTAAAACCTATGCTGCAAATCCACCACAACAATCAATTTCATACTCCTTCGCGAATTCATACATATCCAGATAAATCGAACAGCAAATCGATACTGATTTTAAGAAGAGCGAATAAATTAGGGCAAAATCGAATCCTCACCTCGATGAACACGACAAGCGCGCGGAATTTTGGAGCGGATTCGAGAATGAAACCGGTGTTCTGTGCAAACCATTCGATATTACCTTCGTTGCCGGTGTAGACAAAGATCGGAGCGTTCTCAACAGCGCCGCCCCAATAGGTGTCGTTGATGAGATACCTCTGCTGGAAGGATTGGTAGCTTTGAGGATTGAAGTTGAAGTGGTCGAGGATCTGAGTGAAGAAGGCGGTGCGGTAGTGGCGGAGGGAATCGATTGGGGGAGTTTGAGGGCGGAGGAGGAGGGAAGAGAAGACAGAGGAAGTTTTGGAGAAGGAAGAAGAGAAATGGAGGAAAAGGAAGAGGAAAAGAGACAGGGAAGTGGATGGAGACGCCATTGTTGCAGAGAGTGAAGTTGTGTGGAGTTTGGATTTTATGCGCCAACTGCCATGTGCGGACGAGCATAAAAGATTGTCGGAGTTCGGTCTTCATTTGGAATCTGCCCGCCTCACTATCATTTTATATCCTTTAATACATCTCTAATTTTGGATTCATCTACAAATAAAATTATAATTTTTATTTTAGTTAATAATCATTTTTTTTAATTTATACATTAGCACCCGATGACTTTGGCATCACGTTATTTATCCCTCGCTTTTTTTTTTGTTTTTAGTTTTAAAAAATAATCTAAATTTTAGATAATAAAACAAAAAAATATATATAATTAATTTAAAAAAATTAAGTAGTTATCCAACCAAATTTTTAGATTTTAATCTCATGTCTCTTTTTCAATAAAATTAGAAATGATTTTTTTAAATTATGGATTAAATAGACAATTACGTCAAATTAGAGACTATTCAAGTAAAATAAAAATAAATTTAAAAAAAAAACTTGGGTTCCCTCCATTAAAATTAAATTTATAAATACTATTTATACGTATAATTTTCCTTTTTTTTATTAATCTAATTTTAAATATATCTTCAAAAAGCAAGCCAAATTATTAATATATATATATTATTTTTAGAAATTGATTATATATATAATGTGGGCTCGCTTCCTTTCCCGACTGGCTGCTGAATATAATATAGCAAAAAAAAAAAAACTATAGTTTTGGTCCATGAAGCCCACGCCGCTTTTCTTGATGAAGTTGCTCCTCTTTCAAATAAATAAATAACTTTAAAAAAAAAAGGTAAAGTTATTATTATTATTAAAAGAAAATTATTTTTAATGGGTGTGACTTATTTGAAGCCTATATATAGTTAAAAATCCATCAAAATTCTATTTTTTTTTAAATTATATATATTTTTAAGTATATATCAAGAGTAAAATTAAGTTTTCTTTTTATTTTTTTTCTATTTTATGATATTAAATTTTTATGACGCATGAAACAACTAACAATTTAAAGACTATTTCTTTAATGAGCTTGGTTAAGGCTAGCTAAAAAAGGCTACATAGACTCGGTGGCATGTGCCATTATTTTCAATAATAATTATTTTCTCGATTTTTTTTTTAGATTCATATATATTTTTTAAACCTTATTAAATACTATGAACTAGAAGATAGCTCAATATTTTTTTTAGACTATGTAATTCATTTGAAGTAATAGACACGTGTATAAATAGTGATTGACGAGGAGCGTCCGTAATAGGTAGTATCATAGTCTTATAAATAAAATAAAAAATAATATATTTATTGGTGAGGGACTATTTTTATGCATTAATTGACTTGGGTTGGCATTTAAGTGAAATTTTTTGAAATTTATATTGATTTTAGGATAGTACAATAAAATGCCCTTATTTAGTTATTTACACTTATTTTCTTCCTTTATTTATATTAAATTTTTATGGGCTATAAATAATTGAGTAGCCACCACTAGAAATAGAAATGTAAGTGGTTGAATTCTTAAATCTAAAAAGGTACAAAAATTTAGGTTCTCGTTGGTATAGATACTGACTTTCAATTATTTTAAGTCTTTTTTAGTTTTTTTATCCTCAAAATCGCTCTTTTTAAGATGTGGTTTCAGTTCATTTTTATACTTCACATTTACTCGGGTATCTCATTAATTCTCATTATATATACGTAGGGTCTCTAATTAATTTATTAATCTACTTTTAAAAAACTTAATTAAATTTTAACTACAATTTTTTACCAAACTGTTACAAAATTTTCAACCAGATTAATATCCGTAAAATTATTATCCTTGTTTGTATTTTAAATATAAAAACAGAAATTGTAACATCATTATCGATTAACACACTTGATATGTAAATAGAAAAAGACAATGAATACTTTATATCATGTTTCGACGTAAATGTTAAATCAACTCTACTTCGAAATGATTTTAACAGAACGGTAATTTCTTTAGTAAGTTTTGTTTATCCTTTTACTTTCACCTTGAAAACCTACAAAACCTAGCAAGTTACCATGATGATTTCACTGCTGGTTGAAACATGGCGTGGGTACTAAATTTTGACTCACAAGATTTTGCGATTTGAAAGAATATAATATTGAATTTTGGGGGGGAAAAAAAGTAATTTTTATTTTAAAAAAAATGGTAAATTAATGAGAAATAGAAGGAAGTTGCATGGCATTGAAGTGTCCTTAATTATTGCCTACACCACCTGCAATTATCATTAGACCACTTATTATCCCCAAAACCCCAACTCTATTTTTTATTTCATTAATCAATATCATTCTATTAATGTCAATTTAAATTTGTATTTAAAACATCGCGGATAAATGTCAAGAGTGAATAATATCGTAGACTTTTAAGTGAGTATCTCTTTGGTGACGGAAAAGATTTTTAATATATTAAAAAATGTCAACAAAATAAAATAAAAAATAATAATTAACTATTAATTAGGGTTAAAACATGAGGTAAACAGTAAAAAAAACATTGAGAATAAAATTGGTTTTTAACGAAATAAAAAAGACAGAAAAGAAAGGAAAAAAAGTGGACAATGGGGTGGGGTGTGTTTCCTAGTAAGACAATGTATACGGTCACAGATTTTCTCTTCAAACCACATTTAATTGGTCGGTGATTTTGCCTTCCAAACACGTCATTATCTCCCCGCCAAAAATTTCCAAAAAAAAAACATTCAATTATTATTATTATTGTTTAAATACGAACCTACGTACTATTAACCCAAACCAAGAGCGGTTCACGGGTTAATAGTCCATATATTCGACTTAGGTAACACAAAACATGACATACTAAATTACGTGTCACGTTTCGTTTGGTGCTAAGAACACTTACAAATATCTATAAACTATTAGCTTTTTTTATTTATTTCATAATGCATTTAATTTTGAAAAAAAAATTAAAGGATTTTGAAGACAGTACATTGTTCGGGATTTTCTATCTACTCTCCGATCAAAAAATAATTGGTAATCTCTAATAGCCTAAGCCCACTAATAAGAGATATTGTCTACTTTGATCTGTTACGTATCAACGTCAGTCTCACGGTTTTAAAACGCGTTTGCTAGAAAAAAGTTTTCACACTCTTGTAAAGAATGTTTCACCGGCACACCGCCTGATGTCTGACTTTATACTATTTACAATTGTCTAAGTCCACCGCTAGCTGATATTGTTCGCTCTAGCCTGCTACGTAATGCTAGAGAGAGGTTTTCAAATCCTGTTTCGTTTTCGTCTCCAACCCATCTCGATGTCACGTAATCTGGTAAATATAATAATTTAGTATATACAATATCCATTTCTTTTGCTTTCTCAAATCTTTTCTTTAAACAATTCCCTTCTTTTGAAATTCCCCATTTTTAAACCACGGAATCCGAAATACTGAGACGACGCCGTTTCATTGAAAGACATTTTTAAATTCAATGTTTTTTTTTTTTCTTTTGGTTGCCACCCTAATCAATTACGCCACGTTCTCGAGCGTATCTGGTCCCGACCGCAGCGGATTCCACTCATCCCTCTCCGTTCAGCCTTCATTTTACCCTATGGTCTCCTTTATCTTGTTGTTCTTCTTCTAGCTTACAGTCTGTATTACGCTCTATTTTAATTGCTTCCTTCTTCTATAATTCTCGCAGTTTCTTCGTGGGATTTCTTTTAAACTTCGTATTTCAGTCATGTTAGCTTTGCTCTGGATTGTGGCTCTGCTATGATTTGAAAGGGTACAGTGAAGCGAAAAAGTTGATATGGAAAAGAAAAAGAAAAGAAAAGATTAATTGTTTCTGTGCTTTTTTTCAATTGATTTTATGAACTCTTTTGCTTTTTCATTCAAGTGATCGAGCTAAGGAGGATTTTAGGGTAATCTGTGTCTGATTCTCGCTTGTTTGATCATATTACAGATCTTGCCGTTCTAGCTGACGATGCCAAGGCAGAATCTCGCGGCGGAATTGATTCCAGGGAAAATCAGAAAACGAGGCTGTTCCTCATCCGCTTCTTCCTCATCTTCAATTCTTCAAAATTACAGGTTTAAGCGAGCCATTCTGGTGGGTAAAAGGGCTGGATCCTCAACTCCATTGCCTTCATGGAGGCTTATGACCTCACGATCGAGATCCCCTGCTTCAGCATTTTGTTCCACTGAGTCTCCCAATTACGAGCTTCATCAGTGCGCCAGTGGCCGGTCCAAGCAAGCTCCGGTGTCAGCGAGGAAGCTGGCGGCGACGCTGTGGGAGATGAATGAGTTGCCATCGACAAGGGTGAAGGAGGGTCTGGCCTTGGAGGAGAGGAAATCAAGAAAGGAAATGAAGGGCAGAGAGAAAACGACACGGTCTGTTCATTCTGGTTCTTTGCCTCCCCATCTCTCCGATCCGTCGCATAGCCCTGTTTCCGAGGTGGGTTTCTGCTCTTTTCCCTCTTTTCTCAATTGGGTTCTTTACTTTTGTTTGGTTGATCTGATTTTCTGCATTAAATATGTAGAACTCTGTTTGTTGTTTGAGAGCTATTTCTATTTGATTCAATTCTTTGGTCTTGGGATACAAATTAATGGAGGAGATTGACATGTGGGGCTTAGATGAAAGGCTTTTCCTACTCAATATGATCTAACATTGTATTGTTCCTTTCCTGTGATCTGTTGGATTAGATATGGAAATTGTATTTGTATCTATCATGTATGTTCTTCAGGATTCTGGTTTCTACTTTTGTAGAGAGCGGATCGCTCTGGAACAGGCAGTCGCTGTCGAAGAACTCTGTCCATGTCTCAGAGGCTAAAGCTTGCTGATCATGGCGTTGGAGTTCTTGATTCTGTGAGCAATGCTAGCTTGATGGAGGTATGCTGTGTATTAGGTGCTTTATCCGTACATCTTTGTTTGATATCTTGTATGACAATTCCCTAGTGATCCATTAAGCTTATAATCAGATTCGTTTTATACCAATGGCGAAAAGGCGAGTTCATGTATGATAGTTTGATGTTTTTCATATAGATCGAGACAAGATCGAGGATCCAAACTCCGATTGCATCGAATGTCGGTGTTAGGACACGGCTGAAGGATGTTAGTAATGCGTTGACAACTTCTAAGGAGCTTCTCAAAATCATTAACCGTGTTTGGGGACATGAAGATCGTCCTTCCACGAGCATGTCCTTAATCTCGGCCTTACACGCTGAGCTAGAGAGGGCTCGATTGCAGGTCAATCAGCTTGTCCAAGAGCAAAGATATGAGCAGAATGACATAAGCTATCTGATGAGGTGCTTTGCTGAAGAGAAGGAAGCATGGAAGAGCAAGGAGCAAGAAGTTGTGGAGGCAGCGATTGAATCTGTGGCTGGAGAGCTCGAAGTCGAAAGGAAACTTCGAAGAAGGTTCGAGAGCTTGAACAAGAAGCTTGGACGAGAACTTGCCGAGACAAAGTCAACACTTCTGAAAGTAGTCAAAGAACTCGAGAGTGAAAAGAGAGCAAGGGAAATTATGGAGCAAGTATGTGATGACTTAGCAAACGATGTCGGGGACGAAAAGCTAAAAGTCGAGGAAATGCAGAAAGAATCTGCTAAACTTTGTGAGAATGTCAATAAAGAAAGAGAAATGAAGCGAATAGCTGCTGTGCTGCGTGACGAACAAGCTCATATAGATACCGATCTCGACGACAAAAACGCTGCAGTCGATAAACTGAGGAATCAACTCGAAGCGTTCTTGGGTATCAAAAGAGCTAAAGAAAAGGAGTTCGGATCGAAGGACTCGAACGAAGTGAAATTTGCAGCATATCGAAACAAAAACGGGGTTCATTCGTTTCAAAGCGAGGAAAAGGAAGAAGGGGAAGTTGTAGACGGAGTAGAATGTGAAGAAGATTTGGCTGAGAGTGATCTTCACTCAATAGAATTAAACATGGACAACAACAAAAGCTATGACTGGATTCATTCTTCTGGCATTCCTCTTGATTCAAGGAGGCCTTCGATCGACGATGAACACAAGGCGAGAAAATCGACATCTAAGAAGGGTTCGAGAAAAAGCACATCCTTACAAAGAAGCATTTCCGAGGGAGAGGAATGGGGAGGAAACCAAGCTGAAAACCTTCCAATTTCAGGGGATCATCATCATCATCATCATCATGCTTTAGATTGGGAAAGAAGCTCAGTACTGGAGAAACTAGCTTATGGAGATCAATATCAAGGATACAATTCATCGAAGAACCTCCGAGACCAAATCTTATCCGGGTCAAGGCTCGGTTCAATGAAAGTCACTGCCAGCCCGACACGGGTGTGGGAACAAGCACGACCCTCTAGAGAACTTACAGATTCCCTGGTGCAAGGCAATGGCTTGAAGTCTAGGCTGATGGAGGTTAGAGGCGAGGGTGGGCTAAGTTCAAGGAAGTACAAATAATAACATAACCATGGCAACAACGAGAGCTGCTACAAAGTTGCAGCAGCCCGCTGCTCAAAAGCTCTCAAGGCGGCTGCCAATCCAATCCAATCCAATCCCAGTAGATATATATATTGTGAAATAGAAGACTGCCCATGTTTTGTAAGATTTCTGTAGAAAAAGAAACGCTTTGAATTCTTTTTCGTTCTTATTTTTGCTTGTTTCCCCAGCCCATCTGGAACTGGATCATGTTGAAGATGGTGTGTTCTTTGAGTAATTTTCAACCATTGAAGAGCTTTTTTGTTGTCAGGATTTTGTACAGAAGAATGTTCAAATTTTTATGATCAAACTTTGCTCCAAAACTATATGAAAATTTGTTCATTGTTTGTGAAATCATCGTAAATGTTTTTCAAGGAAGAAAAAATTTGATATGATAATGGCCAAATGTCATTTGTAGCAATAATGAACAGTACTTTTTTTTGGCTATTAATTTTCTGAAAAAGATGTCAGATGTTGCGTCAGGATATTAAATTAAATGAATTCCAACGAACACAATGAATATACAACGTATAATTTTTCTGGTTTTGAATATCTTCAAAAAAGAAATAGTTGAAATTTGGTGCGATTTTTTCATCGATTATGCGAAATCAATAGCCGATTTGATTGCAGGAAGAACCAGCGCTTCTCTATCATGGAACGAATGCTTCTGTGGGCGTTATTTTTTGTGTTGTTATCATTCTGTGTATCATCGGGGAAGGAAACCGAGCCGCCATTGGAGTTGGATCATCTAACTTCGGAGCTTTTGGAATCGGCAAGAACTCCGGAGTTTTTCGATTGGTTGGTTAGGTCGCGGAGGAAGCTGCACGAGAATCCAGAGCTCTCGTTCCAGGAATTCGAGACGAGTGAATTCATCCGAACAGAGCTCGATTCTCTTGGGATTAATTTCACTTGGCCCATCGCTAAGACCGGAATCGTCGCCTCCATTGGATCAGGTGCGCAGCCATGGTTCGCTCTTAGGGCCGATATGGATGCTCTACCAATCCAGGTTTCTCTCCGTTAATATCGATAACACTTTTTCGAATCTGCCTTAAATTTCGGGATTGAGAACTGGAACGAACCCTAATTTCTTCCACTTGAAATTGGGATTAAAATTAGGTTTTCGATTCTTTCTAACTAGATGAAAACATTGATGAATTCCTTTGTTTTCAAGTCTGAAACCTGAACATGGTTGTAGCAATATCACATGTTGTATAGGAAATGGTTGAATGGGAGCATAAGAGCAAGAACGATGGCAAAATGCACGCCTGTGGCCATGATGTTCATGTCACCATGCTTCTTGGAGCTGCCAAGTTACTTCAACAGAGAAGAAATGAGCTCAAGGTAGTAATATACATTCATTTTCTTTCTGTTTCTTGGATTGATATGATTCATTTTGGAATGTGTTTGAATATTGTGAAAGGGCACAGTGAAGCTTGTCTTCCAACCTGGGGAAGAGGGAGCTGCAGGAGCTTACCATATGTTAAAAGAGGGTGCTCTGGACAAGTTCCAAGGCATATTTGGGTTACATGTTGCACCAGATTTGCCAATAGGGACAATTGGTTCAAGGGCTGGTCCATTTATGGCTGGTAGTGGTAGGTTTTTGGCTACTATTCAAGGAAGTGGTGGTCATGCTGCCATGCCTCATAAAGCTAAAGATCCTGTTCTTGCTATGTCATTGGCTATCATCTCTCTCCAACACATAATTTCTCGAGAAACAGATCCTCTTGAATCCAGGGTAATCTTACCTTTACTATATTTCATTGATGAATGATGAACTTGAAATAGATTATAATCTTGAAGTTATGTATTGTGAAATGGTTGAGAAACAGTCAGACTGTCAACAAACTACATAGGTAGGTTGGAAATTAAGTGTCTGCTTAGCTTGAGATGTGTCTTCCCAAGTGGTTATCGATGGCTAAAATTGCATTTTTGCTGTTGGAGAGGGGAACAAAACATTTTTGCTGTTGGAGAGGAGAACAAAACATTCTTTACAAGGGTGTGGAAACCTCTCCGAGGGAAAAGTCCAAGGAGGACAATATCTGCTAGTCGTAGGCTTGGCCTGTTACAAATGATATCAGAGCCAGACACTGGATGGTGTGCCGGCGAGGACACTGGGTCTCGAAGGGGGTGGATTGTGAGATCCCGGAGAGAGGAACAAAACATTCTTTATAAATAGGTGGAAACCTCTCTTTAGCAGATAGCGTTTTAAAACAATATCCGGAAGTCCACAATAGACTTCAATATCTGGAAGTCCACAATAGACTTCAATATCTGGAAGTCCACAATAGACTTCAATATCTGGAAGTCCACAATATCTGCTAGCAGTGGGCCAGCGGGGATGTTGGTATCAGAGCCAGACACCGGATGGTGTGCCAGCGAGGACGTTGGGTTGAAGGGGGTGGATTGTGAGATCTCACATCGGTAAAGAGAAACGAAGCTTTCTTTATAAGAGTGAAAATCTTTCTCTAGCAAGGTAAAGCCCAAAGAGGACAATATCTACTCGCGGTGGATTTGGAACTTTTTAAGAAACAATGGTTCTCTTAACTCTAAAAGTAGATTAAAAGTAACCAATACTCAGTTGTGTAATGTTGTTCTCTACTGTTGGCTCGCAATTTAGGATGACTTCTTGGAACATTTTGAAATTGAAGAGTAACCATCTTCTTTTTTGGTAGGTGATCACCGTTGGGTTCGTTAAGGGTGGTCAAGCAGGAAACGTGATCCCGGAAACTGTAACCTTTGGTGGTACGTTCCGAAGCATGACTGTGGAAGGATTGACCTACCTCCAGCAAAGAATTAAAGAGGTACCCTCCCACTTAAGTTCCTAAATAGAATTGAGTTTTTTATGAATCAATGGACTTTTCATCGAAATTGAACAATAAAAGGGAAAAAGCATGTGAGTTTAGGAATTATGATTCAAGAAACTGTGTTGATCCCACCAGGTCATAGAGTTTCAATCAGCTGTGCATCAGTGCAATGCCACCGTTGACTTCATGGAAGAAAAGTCAAGGGCGTACCCTGCAACTGTCAACGATGAAGCATTGTACAGCCACGCGAAGAAGGTGGGAGAACATTTGCTCGGAGGGGAATCAAATGTGCGTCTTCTTCCGATGTTTATGGCAGCCGAGGACTTCAGCTTCTACGCTCAGAAGATGCCTGCTGCGTTCTTCATGATCGGAGCGAAGAATGAATCGATGAAATCTGGGATTCAACTGCACTCGCCATACATTGTGCTAGATGAGAAAGTTCTTCCAGTTGGATCTGCTCTTCATGCTGCCGTTGCAATTTCTTATCTGGATGGCCAATCTGTGCGCAGTAATTAGGGAACTTCAGTCAAATTTGTTTGCCCATTTGTCTGGCACTGTTGTACTAATGAGGGCTTTGACAGAGTAATGCATCGCCTTGTAGATGAATTTATATTCCTAGTCTGAAATTTGGATTTGCTATAAATAAATTATGAGGTTGGCTCCGATAGCATAAATAAATTAGGAGGCTCTATGAGGCCGGCTCCGATAGCATAAATAAATTATGAGGCTCTATGAGGCCGGCTCCAATAGCAGAAAGATGCATTGTTCTTGTAAGAACGGAGGGTAACAAAGCATTCCTTATAAAAGTGTAGAAACCTCTTTCTAGAGCATACGCCTTTTAAAATCTTTTAAAATCTTGAGCGAAAGTCCCGAAGCAAAAGCCCAAAAAATACAATACTCATTAACGATGAGACTTGTACCATTACTATTCTATTGTTTTTTTTATATCAAACAAACAAAACAGTTTCTTTTTCAAAAAGCAAAATCCTCCCGCAATTCAGCTAGCCAAATCGCACGAATGCAATTTATTCGCCCTACAAGACTACAGAGCAATTCAAACTCTTAGTCAAACTAGGGCTAGGGCAACTATTCTCTTTGAGGTCAGGTAGGTGAAGCGTCTAGCTTAGGGGCACGTCGCTTTTGTAAATAACATAGGTCAACAATTACAAATTGTTTTTGGAAAGGGTTCAAATTTTTTAACGAGATGAGTATTGAGGAATTTTTCTTATATCCAAAACAAATTACAAAATTTTAATTATGTATCTAATAGATTTTTATTATTACATGTATCAAGTTATGTAAGATCCCAGCGTTACCTGAAAGTTTAAGAACTACATTAGATATTTAGAAGTGAAAACCACGACTAACTGCTGCAAAAAGAAAGATTACTATCACAATATGGTAATTAGAAAACTAAGAAATACATGGAAAAATGTCTGAATATCAGTTTAACTGCGGCTAATAAGATGCTTAACAAATAAGAAGCAAGCTTAAAATCCTATAAAAAAATCAATCTGTTTGTCTAATTTCATCGAATTTTAAAGATTCCTGCAAGCTGACCTTTTTTCCTGTAGCCTTTTACGTCTCTGGATTAATGCAAATTGCTGAAACATGTCTGAACCACACTTTTTATGCACATCTACATGGGCTGTTCATTCCCTTTTCAGCTGATTTCTTTTGATAAACGACAGAGCGCAAAGTTTTATGAGCAATCATTCATCAGTTTTCTCCTCAGGAGGTCCTCTCGCTATCGGAATTCCACCACGAAAATTGGTCGTCGGTTTTGCATAGTCCACGAAAATAACCCTTCCGTTCAAAGACTGCAACGAATAACCATAAGACTTAGATTTCTAAGATTAAAAGTAATGAAATAGAGAAAAGTGCAGACCTTTCCGTTCATCTCGGTCAGAGCTGTATGAGCTTCGTCTTCAGACGCAAAGGTGACGAATCCGAATCCCTTTGACTTATCAGATACTCTGTCCGTCACAACTTTAGCTGGAATTGAGAAAATTGTGTTATGCTCCATGAAACTAAATTGCCATGGTTAGACATGAAAGCTGAAGTATTTGAATGGAATTCACCTTCAACAACCTGACCATATTGAGAAAAGGCTTCCGACAGTCCTTTGTCCGAGGTGTAAAATGAAAGTCCTATAGCAAAATATTCAAGAAAGAGGATTTCCATATGGAATAAGGAGTTGTAATAAGTAGACTGATAAGAACTCAATAGCAGAAGTTTCAAGGGCATTGGTATAGACAAATGATTCTATTCCTTCTCACAATAATAGGAAACAGTTCTATTAATCTATGTATAACGGCCCAAGCCTATCGCTAGCAGATATTGTCCTCTTTGAACTTTTTCTTTCGGGCTTCCCATCAAGGTTTTTAAAACGCGTCTGCTAGGGAGGTCCACACCCTTATAAAGGATGCTTCGTTCTCCTCCCCAACCGATGTGAGAATCTTCCAGAACCGGAAAGAAACTAGAGATCAAAGGTTAACAATGAAAGGGGGATAAATATTGGGTAAGTTCCTTAAAAATCCAGAAATTCCATCACAGAACAAGTTGATGTGGCAATCTAACAGAACAAGAACACACTAACCTTTGACAACAATCAAGGTTTAGCTTAAGCTGCATGTATATTCTTGGTCTCTCTAGGTGTAGATCACCCATAAATGACATCCACAACAGATTATTTTGAACTTAAAGAACCTTATACGTCCTAGATTTGTGAAAGCTGCATGTGCCTTCTTGGACACTAGGTTATCTTCTTATGAGAGTTTAAGAAAGCTTCTAAGTGCTTTACGGTGCTGCGTGGTCAGTTTTGGTGGTCAAGTACAATGAGAAATAGCAATCAAAGTATGTCTTCAATACAATTGCAGATAGGTTTCGAGAGTTCAGGCTCATGGAAGAAAAGAAGCTGTAATAGTTTATGAAGATTGAAGAAGCAAATGGACCATGGTTCATACAAAGAAATTCCATTAAGATAAATGAAAGAACAAAAGCAAGGATCATACAAAGAATACAAACAATTGATTCAGATGGGTGGTCTGCGCCTACACATATTTGAATTGCCTGGAAAATACTACAGATGAGAAGCCACTAAAAGTCTAGAAGCAATGAAAACTCCCTTCATATCCAATTTCTCCAAAGCTTGGGTAGATACCTTCAAAATGATCATGAATGCTGTGTGGATTACAGCAAGTGGCAAATCAGTTTGGGCATAATTGCTAAAGATAAATCATATTATCCGTATTCATAAGATGTCTATCCTTTATAATATATAGAACAGATATCAATTTTGGAATGAGTATCAATATAAAAAGTTTCTCTATAGTTGTCCACGATCTTGGTTTCCTGAAGTAAATCAATACAGAAATCCACGATTACACAGCCATACTTTCATTAGTAAGATCAAAACAAGTATATTTTACAAACATAACGTACGAACATCACAGAGACATCTGAACAATTCACAGTCTCTCGTGCAAGCTACACAGTTATCTCAATTCACAGAAACAGAGGAACTCGCAGCAAAAATTGCAATTTCAATTATGAAACATAGACTGCAACATTAGGTGGATATAATGAACTGAAAAATTAACAGAAGAATAGAGAGGATAAATGTTGAGTTTACCTCCAACAAAAAGCTTCGAAGCTATGCCTCTGAAAGAGATGAGACGAGACGGCGGATGAAATAAAGAGGTAAGAACGCGACGATCGGAGGACATCGCCATCGCTTTTCTGATTGCCGCCATAGTAGTAGTAGCAGAGTGAAACTATGCCCTTGTGTCTACGAGTAAAGATATATGGAAAAATGGCGGCCGGAGGTTGGACTGGAGAAGGGACGGCGACGAGCGGTCGTATAAAAGTTTCGAAGCCCAATTCTGCCGCATTCTGGGTCGAGCCCAGTGAGGCTGAAATTTACTTGTAACCCGAACCGGCCCTCTTTTCTTAAATCCGAATAATAATTAATTAAAAAATATGAAATTACAAATTTAGACTTTCTAACTTTTTTTTTAATTATTTTATTTTTTAAAATTTTGTAATAATTTATATATTTTTTTAATTCATTATCTATTAAACATAAATTTGAAATTATACTATAAGAATTGATCGGGTTGGTAATTTTTTTCTATTTAGGTAAACTTTTCATTTTTTAATATAATCTTTATTAAAAAGAAATGGTAAAAAAAACATAATAAAACAGTACATTTCATAATATTTTGGCAACATATAAATTACAGATTAACCATAATTGTAATTAACGACAAAAATCACAGTAATTTTTAACCAAATTTTCCAAAATCAAACCAAAGCATGAGAAAATAAATTACAACCGATTCAAGAGGAAACATTTTACAACAAAAACACATAGATTGGACCGGTGAATATCCGGCAGCCGGAGGAGGAGGAGGAGGCGACGGCGATTAGTGAGTGTTTCGGATAGCGAAAGCGGATAACAAGACGAGGAACATAATGAGAAGAACGGCAACGAAGGAGCCGACCACCGCGCCGCTAATATTCTGGCAGAAATCTTCGAACTGGTCACAGATCGCCAGCCAATTGGTGTTGGAGTTGCCGCTGTGGGCCAGGTACACCATGGCGGCGGCTGCAGCAGCGGCTGACGTGGCAAATGTCAGAGCCACCTGCAAATGTATATCCTGTTTATTCCGTTGAAGAAAGAGAAGAGGGAAAAAGAAAGTTGTTGAATGATCGGAGTTTTACCGTGTCGAGAATGAAGAGGACCAAGCGAATTCCGACCGCCGCCGGGCGGACGATACAGACTATGGAGAATGGCACCGAGAGAGCCATGTAGCCCGCAATGATCCCCATCGCTATCAAAAAGAATCTGCACCCCCACCCCACATCGCAAAAACGATCATAAATTTATAAATAAAAAATTTTAAAGTAGACAATTATAGATTAATGATTTCAGCTAAATTTTTAACTCACTGAAAGGTAGGGAGATCTTCGTAGCTAGCTTCAAATTGGAAGAATTGAGTGAAAAAAGGGAGAGTTTCATCGCTTGTTCCCATGGTCGCAGCGGCCGCCAAGGCAGCGCCCAAAGCGCCAAGTCTCAGAACAAAGTCAAACACCCCGAGCCCCCGCTTCATCCCGCCAGCATTTACTTGCCGGGAAGCGACGGAAGCAGCTGCTTTGCTTTTGCTGCTGCCTGCGGTCGGGGGCACGTCGATGACGGTCGAGTCGTTCGAGTTCTTCATATCAAACGAGCTTCGAAATCAAATAGATAATTTGTTAGATGGTTTGTGTAATGGTGAGAAATGGAAGCTTGGGGCAGCCCTTTAAATATGGAAAGATAAGGGGGTTGGTTGGGAAAAAAAAAGTACAATTATTTTCAAGGAATTATTTGAGGAGTATAATTGAGCAAATTGAAGAAACTTGGGGGAGTTGTTGCAAATAAAGTTCTTTATTTGTTGAACTTAAAAGTGCCTATTTATTTATTTATTTTTTTTTTCATAAAATAGTTGGTGGAGAATTTTAGATAAATTATTGTATTTTCAGATATTATTATGTACATAATAAAATTTTAAAATAATATTTTAAGGAAAAATAACGAATTTGTCGAATTATTAAAATTAAAATTATATACAGATAATATACAAAGACTAATTACCCTTTAAGCAATCAACTAAACCACATAGTTTTCCCTAATCCAATCATAATACAACTAACCAACTCCTCACATGG